CGAATTGAACTTCCAAAACCAAATACAATGATTGAGTTTAATCATTTTAAAAAATCTATGAGAGTGCCTTTTGTAGTCTATGCTGACTTTGAAAGTTTTATAAAACCAATCAACACTTGTACACCTAATCCAAATGAATCTTATACAAAGCAGTACCAAAAGCATACACCTAGTTCATTTTGCTACTATATTAAATGCTTCGATGAAAGTGTATATCAAAGTAAACTAGTTACATTCACTGCAAGTAATGAAAATGAAGATGTAGCACAAAAATTTGTTAATATGCTTGAAGAAGATGTAAAAAAGATTTATAACAAGTACTTAAAGTTTCCAAAAGATATGATATTGACTATGAAAGACAAAAATAATTTTGATAATGCAGAAAAATGCCACATTTGTGAAAAAGATCTTAATAATGATAAAGTACGAGATCATTGTCATATTACTGGAAAATATAGAGGTGCTGCACATAGTGATTGTAATTTGCAATTTAAAATTCCAAAATTTATTCCAGTACTATTTCACAATTTATCTGGTTATGACTCTCACTTGTTCATAAAGAAATTGTCAGAAAGAGGAAAATCAGAAGGAGGAAAATCAGAAGGAGGAAAATCAGAAGGAGGAAAAATAAATTGTTTACCCAACAATGAAGAAAAATATATCAGCTTTTCTAAAGAAATTAAACTTGATGAGTTTACGAATAAAAAAGGAAAAAAAGTTGAAATTAAGAGAGAGCTCCGTTTTCTCGATAGTTTTAAATTTATGGCTGCTAGTTTAGATAGTTTAACTAAAAATTTGTCAAAAGATCAATGTAAAAATTTGAGTAAATACTATTCTGGAAATGAACTCAATTTATTGTTAAGAAAAGGTGTTTATCCTTATGAATGGGTTGACTCTATTGATAAATTAAATGAAACACAACTACCACCAAAAGAATCATTTTATTCAAGATTAAATGATGAAGGAATAAGTGATGAAGATTATTTACATGCACAAAATGTATGGGAAAAGTTTCAATGTAAAACATTTAGAGATTACCATAATTTATATAACGAATCTGATGTATTACTACTAGCTGATGTCTTTGAAAATTTTAGAGATGTCTGTTTTAACAATTACAAATTAGATCCTGCTTGGTACTATACATCACCAGGATTAGCTTGGGATGCTGCGTTGAAAATAACAGAAGTAAAATTAGAATTATTAAGTGATTATGATATGATCTTAATGATAAAAGAAGGAATAAGAGGTGGAATTAGTATGGTTTCTAACAGGTTAGGAACTGCTAACAATAAATATATTGAAAATTATGATGAAAGTAAAGAATCTACTTACATACAGTATCTAGATGCAAATAATTTATATGGGTGGGCTATGAGCAAGCCCCTTCCAACACATGGATTTGAATGGATGTATGAAGAAGAATTAAAAAATTGGAAATCTACTTCTTGCATATTAGATGTAGATTTGGAATATCCTGAACACTTACATGATGTTCATAATGATTATCCTCTAGCCCCTGAAAGATTAAAAATAGACAAAGTTGATAAATTAATACCTAATTTAAATCATAAGAAAAATTATATCATACACTATGAAAACTTAAAACTGTATGAAAGATTAGGAATGAAAATAACAAAAATTCACAGAGGAATAAAGTTTGAAGAAAGTGCATGGTTAAGTAAATACATTGAACTCAATACAAATCTAAGAACAAAAGCAACAAATGATTTTGAAAAGGACTTTTTCAAACTTATGAACAATTCAGTGTTTGGAAAAACAATGGAAAACATTGAAAACAGAGTTGATGTGAGATTAGTTTCTAAAAGAGAAGAAGCTATTAAATTATCATCAAAACCAAATTATGAAAGTAGAACGATATTTGATGAAAATTTAATTACAATACATATGAAAAGAACAAAACTAGTTTATAACAAACCCATTTACTTGGGTATGTGTATTTTAGATTTGAGTAAAACACTAATGTACGAATTTCATTATGATTACATGAAAAATAAATATGGAGATAAAGCTAAACTATTATATACAGATACAGATTCATTAATCTATGAAATAAAAACAGAAGATTTTTATAAAGATATTTCTAATGATATTGAAAGTAAATTTGATACAAGTGAATTTAATAAAGATCATCCAGCTGTTCAAAATGGATTTAAAGTTGGTGTAAATAAGAAAGTAATAGGAATGTTTAAAGATGAATCAGCAGGAAAACAAATTACGGAATTTATTGGACTCAGATCAAAGTTGTATTCTTACAAAATAGATGAAGAAGATAAAAAGAGATGTAAAGGAGTAAAGAGAAATGTAGTAAAAAATTATATTACACATGAAGATTATAAAGACTGCCTTATAAATAAGAAAGATCAAATGAGAAAAATGAATGTCATAAGATCTCATTTACATGATGTTTATACTGAAGAAATAAACAAAATAGCATTGAGTGCAGAAGATGATAAAAGAGTAATTCAAGAAGATGGTATTCACACATTAGCATATGGACATTATAAATTAAAAGAGAGTAAAACATTGGTTCCTTCAGAACCCAAACCCAACTTTTCATTTCAGATTGATTGGAAATAAACAGGCAAGCAGGCAGGCAGGCAAACAGGTAAGTTATTTTTTATATCTTAAAAAGATCTAAAAAAATCTAATAAAGTAATAAAAATGGACAAACATATCAATGTTGAAGGAATTATATTGCCAAATGTACCCTTAACAAACTTTCAATTAATAAAAGCAGCAAAAAAATTAAAAATTAAAAATTTTAGAGGTGTATTTTTAAGAGATGAATTACCTAAAAATACACAAAACAAAGAATGTGGAATATTAAATACTGGAGATTCAAGTACGAATGGATTTCATTGGATTTGTTGGTATAAAGATGGAGAAGAAAAATTAAGTTTTGATTCTTATGCATTACCACCTCCAGTTGAACTTGTTCAATATTTACACAGTCCTGTTTATTATAATAGTAAAAGAATTCAGTTTGGAGACACTTCTTTTTGCGGACACTTGTGTCTTTATGTATTAAAAAAATTAAATGAAGGTGCTGATTTTCAAAGTATTGAAAACTCATTATATTGAATTAAAAAAAAATATAGTATATAAAAAAATGAGTATGAATATAGCCGGTAGTAATTCATTATATGGTTACACAACAGATGGATTAAATATCAACATTAATGTTGGCAATACAGCCACTACTGATGTTGATTTGAATTCACATAAATTAATCAATGTAGCTGATCCTACAGATGCACAAGATGCAGCTACAAAAAATTATGTTGATAATAATCAAACTTCTAGCAGTGCATGTCTAAAATTAGATGGAACTAATAGTATGAGTGCTAATATAAATTTGAATTCACATAAATTGATCAATGTAGTTGATCCTACTAATGCACAGGACGCTGCTACAAAAAAATATATTGATTCAACATATGAATTTATTACAAATTATATAGAAAGAATAATTCCTTATCCTCGTAAATATAAAGTTTTGATTGTAGCTGGACAATCAAATACTTATTATGGTAGAGAATGGGGTCATTCTGCTGCAATAACTACTGTAAATTATATGCATAGACGAATAGTACAATTTGCAATGGATAATGGACAAAATGATGTGTTTCTTCCTTGTTCTCTTAGACTTGAAGTAAATGAATCAGATAATATGTGTTATGCTGGATATGGTTCAATATTAGCAGGTTTAATAATGCAAGATGCTGATACTTCAAACACATTAAATATAATACATTCAGATGAAAGTTTAATGATACTTCCATGTATGTTAGGTGCAAGAGGTTTTAGTGATGATTATTTTATGCCATATGGTACTGGATTTAGAAATTTAACTCGTAGAATTAGATATATTTTATCACATTATAACGCAGAATTTTGTGGTATGACTTGGGCTCAAGGAGAAAATGATTCTATAGATGGCTGGAATAATAATTATAGACATATTCTAGTAAACTTTATTCAAACCATAAGAGATTATATAGGGTATTCATCTAATCAGTTTTACACGTTAACAAATTCCCAAGCAAAATCAAATACAATTCCATTCCTTACTTTTCAAATGAGACCTGGATGGGTTTCAGCTAATTCAGCAAGAGCAACACCAGTTCAAAATGCGCTTTCAACTATTGGAGAATATATTCCATACGCTGCAAGCATATCTATTACTAATCTTCCACCTTCTATGAGAATTACAAACGATGACACCGTACATTACGACTCACGTCAACAAATATTTTTAGCTCAACAATTTTATAATGCATTAATTACAGCTAAAAATAATTTATATGCTAATAGTGTTTATTATCCACTTTACATATCAGGAGAAACGCTAATTGTTAGGCAAGTACCAACAGATTTATTTCCAACTAATTATTATGGATCACTTAATTATGATAGTGCTAATCCAACTACAGCTACAAAATATAGTCAGTTATCTAATAACTATTTTTATAAAAACAAAGATGGATATTATAAATATCGCTTAAGATATAAAATTAATGGTGAATGGAAAAGTATTATATTTAAACAAGCATTCCTTCCAATGATGTCTATGCATTATCAAAATATTGCACAACTCATATCAACTGAAACACCATTCGGTAATACAAACACAGGACAAGGATTTTGCGGATTAAATTTGACAACTACAAAAAGCATGATGAATTTAGGAGCAGTACTTACACTAGATACAGGTGGTGGATATTGGGCACCTGTGTGTGCAAATAGCAGTTTTACAGATGGATCTGCTAATGTTTTTCCTGTATATACTAATTACATTGAAAATAGTTCAACTACTTTAGTAACTGCAACTGAACTAGAATTATATGCTATAAGAGACCCTATATAATATTGTTAAGACAATTCTACTATGTATAAGCAAATACTAGCGCATGCGCATTAAAAAATTAAAAAAAATTGAAAATGATTTAAATAATTTTTCTTTATATATAAAAAGAATGGAAAAAGAAATGCAAGAATTGCAAAAAGATTATTCATCTTTATTTAACAGTCTTGGAAACAATTGTAAACAACTAGAAAAATATAAAAATCGAATAGAGATACTTAAAAACAAAGAAGAACGTGATATACTCATAAAATATGAATATAAAGTGAAGGGATTTAATATTATATGTGTATGGGATCAACTACTAGAAAAATATGAAAGAAAAATACCTAGAAAAGAAAAAAGAATTGAAAATGTTAAAAAAGAGCTTGAAAATGTTGAAAATAAAATAAAAGAACTTGAAAATACTATAAATTAATGTAAAGAATTACACATGTAAAAACATATTAATTTAAGTTATTTGAAAATGATTTAAATAATTTTCTTTTATATATAAAAAAGAATGAATCAAGAAAATAAAATTGAAGAATTAGAAAAAAAACTTGAAGAATTATGCTTAAAAATAAAATTAATTGAAAAAAAATTAGATTGTAAAAAAGATAAAAATCCTTATAAACCAGATCCTGAAGCAATGGCGATAGCTTTATGTGAAGCTCAAGAGAAATATGCTAGGAGAATTGCTAATAGAAATGCTAATAGAGATTGTATTATAACTGCTGATCTAAAAAAATATGGGTATAAACAAGGTAATAAAGTTGACTTTGCTGCAAGTAATAATAGACTTGATTGGATAAAACAATTAATTGAACTAGGATATGAAGGAACAGAAGATGCAATTGAAGGTGCTGTAAAAAATGGTCACCTTGAAATTGTAAAGTATTTACATGAAAAAGAATATGAATGTAAGCAGCTTTATCCAATTAATAAAGCTGCTGTAAATGGACATCTTGAAGTAATTAAATATTTACATGAATTAGGGTATAAAGGAGATGGATTTGCAATTGAAGGTGCTGCTAAAAACGGTCATCTTGAAGTTGTAAAGTATTTACATGAAAAAGGATATAAATGTTCTAATTTGGCAATTATTGATGCTGCTGGAAATGGACATCTTGAAGTTGTAAAATATTTATATGAAAAAGGGTATAAATGTTCACATCGGACAATTGATTGTGTTGCTAATAATGGTCATCTTGAAGTATTAAAATATTTACATGAATTAGGGTATAAATGTGACAAATGGGCAATTAATAATGCTGCTGGAAATGGACATCTTGAAGTTGTAAAATATTTACATGAATTAGGGTATAAAGGTACAAAAGATGCAATTAATTATGTTGAATACTATGGCCGCACTGAAGTAATTGAATATTTACGTTCTGTTGGATATAGTTAATTATGAGACTACTATGTATAAGAACTAGGGCATGCGCATTAAAAATAAAAAAAATTTTGAAAATGAGTTAAATAATTTTCTTTTATATATAAAAAGAATGGAAAATAATATTAAAGAATTATTAAAATCAATAAATGAAAGATTAAGATTAGTTGAAGAAAAATTAAATATTATTGATATTCATGATATTGAAATGACTGATGATGAATATAATGAAAATGAAATGATTAATAAAGATGATAACATGAGTGATGATGAATATGATGAATATGATGAAGATAAAAATGGTATGATTGATGATGATCTAAATGATTATCTAAAAAAATATGGGTATAAACAAGGTAATAAAGTTTATTTTGCTGTAAAAATAAGAAAAATTAACTTGATTAAATATTTAATCCAATCAAAAAAACAAAGTGTAGATAATGCTTTTGAAATAGCTGCTAAAAATAACAACATTAAAATGTTGAAGTTTTTAAATGAATTAGGGTACAGAGCTTCAGAAGATACATTTGATGATGCTTTTAAAAAAGCTGTTAAAAAAAACAACCTTGAATTGCTAAATTATTTTCATGAATTATTGTATAGAGCTTCAGAATTTGAATTTAATCAAGCTTTTGAAAAAGCTGCTGAAAATGGCAACCTTGAATTAATTAAATACTTGCATGAATTAGGGTACAGAGCTTCAGAATTTGAATTTAATCAAGCTTTTAAAAAAGCTGTTGAAAATAACAACCTTGAATTGCTAAAATACTTGCATGAATTAGGGTGTAAATAAGAAGCAGGAAAAAGTCACGTCATGCAAGAATTTTTCGTAATATTTCATAACAAGAAATAAAATTTAACACTTATTTTAAAAAAATCAATTTTTTAAAATAAAAAAATTATTTCTTATCTAAATAATTTATATACAACATGGTTCAATGTTAACCTCAATATTAATATTAATTTATGGTTGAAAATTTGGTTGAAAATAAAAAATAAGCTAGAACTCTCATTTTCCTACTACTAGCGAGGTTGCTGTTTTATTTTTTTATATCCAAAATATAAGTTATGTGTATATAGAGTATTTCAAATAAACTAACTGCTGTTTTAAAAATACAACTCTAGATACAATTTTGTCGTTTAGTTGTTATAAGAAAAGCCATTTTGCCCGGTTTTCCGTTAAATAAACGAAAACTTTATTTAAAAAATTGAGAGTAAGAAAAAAATATCAACTGTAGTTATGAAAAGATATTTCACTAGTATATGTGTAATAAAAACGGCAGTTACGTTATAGAGCTAACGCACAGACCAAATAAATGTACATAAGAAAGCTCTTATAACATTGAAAAAAAGTTGCTTCGCCAAATTAAAGTTCTTTTTTTTAGATAATATATACCAACCCAAAACCCCGAAAATCGAAAATGACAGTAAACAATAATGGTGCATACCTTATTGACACAAATACTTAAAACAAGTTTAGATGTGTTTTTTTCCGTAACCATCATTAACGTTTGTTTATATGCCATAATTTCTATCAACTTTATTAATTGTGGTTCTTTAATAAAAATAACCTAATTGCTAAAACATAGTTTTTTACTTTTTATTAATTTGTGTTGATTAGCTTGAAAGATCCATTATGCCAAATTAACCAAAAACATTATCAATAAGGCTCGTACACACAAACGCGTGCGCGCACACACTCAACCACACCCGCACGCCCAACTGTTTCTCTTGTTCCAAAACTCTATTAAACACAAATTATAGGATTTTGAAAAAAATCTGCCTCTAATACAAACTATAGAAAATAATCAATGAAAAAAAGTTGTTTATTTCATTCCAGCTTACATTGACATATTGTTTTTAAGTTAGTTTTCAGCATGCTGTTAATTTTTGTGAGTTTTACTCATCTTTAACTGTGTCAATCTTAACTTTGTCTAACTTACTTACTTACTTACTTACTTACTTACTTACTTACTTACTTACTTACTTACTTACTTGTAAATACTTTACTTAATTCAGTTTAGAAAACTAAAAGTTACATTCTACTTAGATACATAAGAAATGTTATGCTTAAAAGTTGGTATTTTACAAACTTACTGGGTTTTACATAGCTTTACTCTTTTTCTTTTTTAACCTAATTAACGTCTCGCCTAGTCAAGTCAAAATTTAGTTGCAGTTTATGAAATTGTTTTTTAACGGCAGTTTTATTAAAGATTTAACTCGAAAATGCATCCTACGTATATATTGCTTTGATTGTTTTTTCGTTGCTCTAATTGCTCGCATTTATTATGCGTTATCTATCTGATTCCGATTTCATAAAATTTCAAATACGATTAACAACTCAAACTAAAGTAACACAACTGAACACGTGCCAAATGATGAGATTTTCGAAAAAACACCGTCGATTAGCAATAACTGAAAGCGAGGTTGCTGTTTTATTTTTTTATATCCAAAATATAAGTTATGTGTATATAGAGTATTTCAAAAAAACTAACTGCTGTTTTAAAAATACAACTCTAGATACAATTTTGTCGTTTAGTTGTTATAAGAAAAGCCATTTTGCCCGGTTTTCCGTTAAATAAACGAAAACTTTATTTAAAAAATTGAGAGTAAGAAAAAAATATCAACTGTAGTTATGAAAAGATATTTCACTAGTATATGTGTAATAAAAACGGCAGTTACGTTATAGAGCTAACGCACAGACCAAATAAATGTACATAAGAAAGCTCTTATAACATTGAAAAAAAGTTGCTTCGCCAAATTAAAGTTCTTTTTTTTAGATAATATATACCAACCCAAAACCCCGAAAATCGAAAATGACAGTAAACAATAATGGTGCATTTTTTTTTTTTTTTTTTTATAAAATTTATTTCTATTTAACAATTATTTACAAATTTTATAAAATTTACATTAAGTCAGTTAAAGAACGTTAAAGTTTTACAATTTATAAGTTTCATATATAAAGTTTTTATAAAATTACAATAAAGATGGTTTACAAATGTTTTTTTATATATACCTTTTTTTTTTTTTTTTATTCATATTATTATATATTTTTTTGTGTTTTTCGATTTGATATTTTTTTGTGTTTTTCGATTTTATATTTTTTTGTGTTTTTCGATTTTATATTTATATTATAATGTGCGGAGAGAAATCGGAAGACTTGAGAAAGTTAAAGATGGAGATCTTTCAAAAGGAAATCATGAAATATTTATATAAGGAATGAAATTATAATAACATAACAGCAAAAATTCCAAGACTTTAACACAAACATCACATAACGTACGCTACAAAAAAAAGATTTAAAAAGGGAGATTATAATTCATAAAATAAAGACTGGCAGTGATTTTTTAAACATAAGTAATAATATTTTGTTGTAAAATTAATAATTCGTAGAGAAATGGAAAACATCACTAAACATATAGTTCTTTTATTGAGCTAGCGTGTCAGTTTAGCTTATATGTTTAGTTTCAATCTTTCGTTCTCTACTTGGCATATTATATTTTTAACACAAAAAAGTTGGCTGAAAATGTCCGCAGTGTTTTTACGGACATGATAATTATATTTTAAAGTAATAATATTCCTGATTTTCCTGATTATTACCCTGATCACTGCCATTGGATTGATTTTCATGTTACTAAACATGTGGTGGCATCTGCTGTTCCATATCTCACTCATGATGATTTGAGTGAGTGTCAAAAACAGTTGCGAAATAGGGTTTTTTTCCGATAAGTTCGCGGTTCCCATAGAAAAAAATCGAATTTATTGGAGAAAAACCCTTTTGAGACGTCAAGGAGTTATATACATGTTTAAAATATTCCCAAATTTCAACAGAGGGAGGACAGTAGGCAAAGATGTGAACGATGTCCTTGATTTTACCACAAGTTTTACATTTGTTGTTTTTGACAATCTGTTGCCTTGTGCTTTTGGCTAGCAAGGCCGTAGAAGATAGGCTGTTGTGTAAAAATCAAAAAAAGATGTTTTGAGTCCGTACTTTAAAAAGTAGTAATTATCATGGGTGTTATCCTCTCCGCATTCCTTCAGTTGAAATAGTGTTTTGAGGCGGAGCGCAAGGCTTTGCTCCTTCGGTGATAAAATTCCGAGACCCCCGCTTTTGACGGGTAGTAAAAGCGTCTCTTTTTTGACCGGATTAAAATTGGTCTTTTGCCACAGGTTTTCGAAAATGGCACTGTGCAAACGTTCTATTACCCATTCGGGAACGGGCAGCACGTTAGCCAGAAACCACACTTTTGACAATGCTAACGTATTTATCAACATAGTCTTTCCCCTAAGTTACAAAGTACGTAGTCCCAGAAACTTGAGTTTTTTCTCTATTTTGTTTAGAGTTACTAGCCAGTTGAAATTGGTAGTATTACTCAGTCTGGTGTAAAACGTAACACCTATAATTTTGAAACCGGTGTTACTAGTCCACTCTATGTTGTCCGATTCCGGGTACATTTTGGAATCAAAACCCCCAAGAGCAAGACCTTTGGTTTTTGAGGCATTGATCACTGAACCACCTGCTTTTTCAAACAATTTTACTTTTTCGAAAAAGAAGCGGACTGATTTTACGTCCCTGGCAAAAAAGTTCGAATCGTCTGCGTACTGCTGGATTTTAAGGGGTTTCGGTGTTCCTAGTAATGGGAATCCTTCGATTCTGCTGTCCGCTCTGATCTTTAAAGCGAGAGCTTCAGCCACAAAGACATACAACAAAAGAGAGAAGGGTTCGCCTTGTCTAACTCTCCTTTTGTTAAGGAATGGGGCTGACAAGAACCCGCATATTAGAATAGATGCCGAAATTTTTGAATATAGTGTGTTAATAAAGGATATAAAGTTTTCTCCGAGATTAAATTTTCGGAGAATCTGCAGCAGAAACGCACGATCGACTTTGTCAAACGCCTTTTCTTGATCTATTGACAAAATGAAACTAGGTAGTTTTTTATATTCCGCGTAATCTATTAGATCACGGACTAAGTGTTTAATTTGAGAAAATTGTTCTACCTGGATTTCCGCAAATTTGATATGGTTCTATAATTTTCCCCATTACTTTAGAAAGTCTTAGGGCCAGCGCTTTTGTGATTATTTTGTAATCAGCGCCGATTAAGGATATGGGCCTCCAATTTTTACATTCAGTGAGATCTCCTTGCTTGGGAATTAGTGAAATTATTGATTTTTTTATAGAGTGGCTGGTATTTTTTCTACGAAAAGTATTTAGTAAGCAAGCTCTTCAAAATCTTTTTCTAAAATGTGCCAAAAAGTTTTGTAAAATTCAGCTGGAAGTCCGTCATAACCCAGTGATTTTCCGTTTTCAAATTTAAAAAGGGCTTCTTTTAACTCCGCGCCGGTTAGGCTGGTGTTTAAAAATTGATTTTCATCATCACTAAAAAGTTTAGTGATGTGTGACAAGACATAGTTTTGGCTGTCTTTGCATAAATTCGTTTTGGTGTAAATGTTTTTGTAATATGAAACGAGGGAGTTTAATATCTCACCAGCTTTACTCGTCAATCTGCCATCGTTCTTGCGAATTACGGTAATTGACTTGTTTCGCTGTTGAACTTTTTCCAAACTATACAAAAATTTTGAAGGTTTTTCTCCTTCTTCAATTAGTTTTTGTTTCGTGCGAATAAACGCTCCTGGAAACTGGAGCAAGAAAAGAGCATCGCGTTTTTCTTTGATGCTATCTAAATTCGGGTTAGCGTTTTGTCGCTCCCGATGGATTTTGTTTTCAATCCTTTTGATTTGTTTTTTGTTTTTTGCACTTTCCTGTATCGATATATGTTGTAATTCAACCCTAACAAAAAGTTTACAGTCGTCCCATCATTTTAAAAGTGAGTTGTAGGATCGTTTTTTAACTTGCCAATCTTTAATTAAGAGTTCAATTATTTGCCTATGCACCTCTATTTCCAAAAGGAAACAATTTAATTTCCAGTATCCTGGTCCTCTCCTTGTTTTACTAAAATTGACGGTTGTTGTCACGAACTCGTGGTCGGAAAAGGGGTTGGTGAGAATTTTTGCATATGTTGTTTTTTTGGCGACTTTATCAGGGCAGTAGATTCGATCGCGTCTACGTTTTGCCTTCTGATTTCGCCATGTGAATTCTCTTTTGTGTGGGAACTTGAAACGAAAAACATCAACTAGGTTATACGTACCTTGGAATATCCCGAGTTCGTCAACGCCGTAGGTGTGATATTTAGCGTTGTTCGTACCTTCTGTGTCGAGAGGCAGGCTTTCGACCATGTTGAAGTCGTCGGCCAACAGGAAGGGTAGTCCTGTGTCCTGCGAGAAATCACCAAGGTCGCCAAAAAAAAAGCGCCTTTCTCTCGGCCCATTAGGAGCGTAAATATTCAGCACCTGCATTTCGTGTTCGTCTATTTTTATCATGACATTTAATATCCTACCGTTATTATCCCTTTTTAGTTCGTTTAAGGAAATGTTGGATTTAGAGAGTTTTGCCACCCCGCAACAGTTATGACTTGGCCCGGAGTTCCAAATTGACTCGCCAGTCCATTCGTCTTCCCACTGTTTAACAGTGGAAGGTCTAGAGTGTGTTTCTTGTAGGCGGATGAGATCGAAAGAGGATTTTTTAGAAACCCAAAAAAAATGTCGCGTTTTGTTTGGTCGTTTAGACCGTTTATGTTGCACGTTAAAACATTAAAAGTCATTATGGAGAGAATCAGTTTTCCTAATTTGAAAACTCGTGTAACTTAAACATAAATATGATAATTTTACAACCTGACATAAAAAGTACAAACATTTAGACCTTAACCTTATTGCACGAGTTTTCGTTTGAAATGATGTAATACTAACAGATGGACGCACTGAACCATAACATTTCACAAAAAAGCGCGAGCTACAACAATACAAATTACGACAGCTTATGCGCATCATTAAACATGTGCCATTCATTTTTAATGAGAAATTAAAATTAGAACAAAAAAAAATCGTAAGAAGATTTTTGAAAAAAGGAATTGAGAAAAAAAAAGTCAGATTTGAAAACAAAGCGAAAAAAGGAAAATTAAGAAAAAAAGTAATGAGAAAAAAATCTTACGATTTCTTTTCCGCACAACTTTGGCTATCATAATCTTCATCAATGACTAAAGAATCTGTTTCGTCGTCAATAAAGCTTTCTTCAATTTCTTTGCGTAAACGTTCTTCTTCCAAGTCCATCGCTTCTGTTGTTTCTAATGCGGTAATGTTTGATTCCAAAACTGTGGTGTTAGTTACTTTTTTGGGAGTTTCACCCTCCGACTGTCCAAGTCTTTTTCTAGTAGTCTGTGAAGCGGTTTTCGGTAGCGTTTTTCTTTTTAGAGTAACTTCGTTATTTTTTTTATCTTCGTGGACTTCATTGTCTGCGCTGGAATCAATTTCAGCAAAGGTTTCACCCTCTATGTCATTACATTCATTTTTTTTGTTGTTTGCTTCAGATGTTTGTTCAATTGTGGGTAAAACAAATTGACTAGCTTTTTGGGTATTGCTCTCCGGTTGTCCAACATGTTTGTACCTAAGAGTTAGCCCATCAACATTTTGGTAGCGAGGAAGTGGATTTTCGGACGGATTTTTCCAGTTTTTTAAAATTATAACAACGTTTCCAGTGTAGATGTCTTCGCCCTGTACCTTAACTTTTTGAAGATAAAATGACTCAAATTCGCCTCTGCCTGTTGCAAGATGTTTTCCAAGTAAGATGAACGCACTTTGGCAACCGTTTCTAAGAAAACCAATTGGTATATTCTGCACAAGAACATGCACTTTCCGTAGAAACTTTTGTTGAAATCGTAGAGAGCAGCCTTTAATTTCAATTTCTGTTTTTAAAAACAATTCTACAGCAGAATTATTTATTACTGCAAACTCAAACAAATGATTAGCGTAGTGCCTCGTTACTCTCCAGACACTGGAGAGAAGATTTTTTCCTGATAACGCAGATAGAAAATCGTTTATGCTGATATTTAAATCACCATATCTGCAGACTAACACATTAGCATTATCACTCATAAGGTTTGATATAAATATTTCAAGTTGCGTCTTCACTTGACTGCTCGACGTAGAAGATGATGTTAATGCACTTGCATAGCTCTTAGCCATATTAAAATTCAAGATAAATTTATCTCATTTTATCTCTTTATAAATTTATAATAATAATGGTGCATACCTTATTGACACAAATACTTTTATTTTTTTGGTTATTTTGATAAACTCAGAAGAGTTTTAAATTGCGCTTGTCGCTTTAGTTTTTGTTTTTTTTTGTTTTATATATTTGTTTTTTTAGAAGGCGTTCCTCTTGCTTTGTTTCATGATCTTTATGAAATTGTTCGTGTTCCTTTCTACGTTGCTCCCATTCTGCTTTTTTACAAGCTATATATCTTCTTTCTTCGTTGTTGCTTGTAGTTCCTCTTTTAAAATCTTTAAATTCTTTAATATTATATGAGTACATCTCTCTCGAATCCATCTTTTGAAATGTGAGTGGTGTAAGTTGTCCTTTACTTTTTTGTATATTTTCAAGCATTTTATAATTTCTTTGGGCCCTTTTGTACTGGATCCATTCATATTTTTTGAAGGCTTTAAATTTTTTAAGTTCCTCATCACTGCAATTTAAACTATCGAAATTTTTAAATAATTTCCAATTATAATCTACTTTTTCTAAATGGAGCATATCAAGATATTTCTCAGGTACTTCAATGTCGTCTTCTTCACTACTTTCTTCATCATTATTATCACTATCGTCGTAACTATCTCCACTATTATTGTCACCTCCACTATTATTGTCATTACTATCTTTATTGATATTGTCATCCGAAACATCTTTATTACTATCGTTTCCCTTACTTCCGTCTACACCATTATCGCTATTGTTAGTATTACAATCTTCTTCTTCACTATTAGTTGTTATTTCTTTTTCATTTACAATTATTATTTCTTGAGTTGATTTTGGTTGAGGTTCGGTAGTTATTTCGACTGATTGTTTTTCTACTTCCTCGACATGTTTGCTTGATTCTATTTCGCCACAGTTTTCCTGTGATGTTATAATACCGTTAGGACTTTGTATTTCTGTAAGTGATTGGCCTACTTCTTTTTCACTTATTGTTTCGTTGGCGTTCTCGTTACCCAT